AATTTTGCTTCCGTTTAGCTCGCTAATTTCAAGGGTCTGTGTGGAAACCGGTAGGTATACCCCATTGGGCTGGTCTCGCGGGGCTGCGGCTGTGGCGCCTGTGATATAAAGGAGTCACCGACGCCCGCATGTTGATCGCCGACGGCCCAGGACGCCCGCGGGCAGTCATAAAGGTGCCGCGGCCGTCCTAAACGCCAGCCCACGACCGAATGAGGTGCAGAGCCGGGGGAGCCCTGCAGGCAGCGCGGCGCTCACCGGCCCGGCCGCTCCTCTCGGAGACCGGGAAGTGGCTCCCAGCCGCCGCACGCCGGCCCTGCGGCAGCCCCCAGTCCCATCGCTACCCAGTCGGCGTCCCCGCCGTCCGATGTGTGCCAATGTCGGCCCCGCGGCTCGACCCGCACATCGGCACCTCTGTACTCGATTGAGTCACACAAACATCACTTCGATGCATACCTTTGCCATCTGGCATCTCCAATGCACCTTTCATGGCTCAAATGATAAACATGAATTACAGTTCTGGGATAAACTAATGGAGAACGATATCCGTCGAGCATCCAGGAATCCGGAGCGCAACAGTCGTCGCTCGCAGGACACGGCGGTAGGTCGGACCTCGGCCAGCCGCGCACAGAGGGACGGTCGGACTGCGACCAGCCGCGCACAGAGGGACGATGGGACCTCGGCCATCCGCGCACAGAGGGACGGTCGGACTGCTATACTAGCCGCGCACAGCGGACGGTCGGACCTCGGCCAGCCGCGCACAGAGGGACGGTCGGACTGCGACCAGCCGCGCACAGAGGGACGGTCGGACTGCGACTAGCCGCGCACAGAGGGACGGTCGTACCGCGATGGATCGGGCAGGCCGGAAAGGGAAAGACGACCAACCCGCAATGGGAAACCCAGTGGGCCGGAACAGCACACACGGCAGCCAGCAGCTCCTGGTAGATTTGACGCCGGAGCTGATGGTGACTGACACTCAGCCGCCTCGGCGGAGCGGGAGTGTGCAGTCGGTCCAGCAGTCGGTCCGTCGGTCGGTCCGAGGTCGGCGACCCCGCCGCTCCGGCTCCGGCTCCGGCTCCGGCTCGGACTCCGGTTCGGGCCGGCCGGTCCCGGTCACGGCGCCGACAGAGAGCCAGAGCGGCGACCCGGCCGGCCGGCGGACCGGTCCGACCGGGGCCGTACAGGTCACACGGGGACACAGCTGGTCACACGGACACAGACACAGGCGGTCACACTGACACAGACACAGCGACACATGGACACAGCAGGTCACACACGGACACAGGCGGTCACACACGGACACAGCCGGTTACACGGACACAGACACAGCCGGTCACACGGACACAAACACAGCGACGCATGGACACAGCAGGTCACACGGGGACACAGACACAGCCGGCCACACGGACACACAGACACAGCCGGTCACACGGGGACACAGCCGGTCACACGGACACAGACACATGCGGTCACACGGGGACACAGCCGGTCACACGGACACACAGACACAGCCGGTCACACGGACACAGGCGGTCACACTGACACAGACACAGCGACACATGGACACAGCAGGTCACACGGGGACACAGCTGGTCACACGGACACAGCTGGTCACACAGGGACGGAAAGAGGCGCTCACACAGGCACAGCCAGACACGGACACACAGACACAGCAGGTCACACGGCCGGACGCAGTCACATAGACATAGTCGGTCACACAGACGCAACCGGTCACACAGACACAGCAGGTCGCACGGGCACACAGACAGCTCTGTGACCAGTCTGCGTCTGTGCCGGTCCCACGGGCGGGACGCGGTAACACAGACACAGCAGGTCACACGGGGACACAGCCGGTCACACGGTCACACAGACAGAGCTTTGTGACAAGTCTGTGTCTGCGCCGGTCCCACGGGCGGCACGGGGCCGGCCGGTCACACAGACAGCTTTGTGACCAGTCTGTGTCTGCGCCGGTCCCACGGCCCGGGACGCGGCCGGCCGGCGCGCTCGGATGCAAGATAACGGAGCCGGACGACCCCGTTCCAGGGAGCCGGACGAGACTGTGGCAGCAGGTAGCGCCAGAGCGGCGCTAGTGTGTGGTTCATTGTGGCAGCAGGTCGCGCCAGTGCGGCGCTAGGGTGTGGTTCATCACACTGCGCAGCTACTGAGTAATCCCGAGACCCGTGGGATCGAAACCAGCAGTGTTGCCAGAGTTGGCGTATCTACCGAGGAGGACGCAGAAATCATTCAGAATCCGATACAAGCATTACCGTTAAGTAGGAACCCCGCCGAGCTGGGTATTCAGATCGCATCTAAATGTAATGCAGCGCATTAGCAACTGTGATCACTATAAGCAGAGTGGAGGCCAATGCCGGACTGGGCGGGTTGTGGGCCACGGCGGCTGTCCCGGCAGAGGCGCGGTGTGCGGCGCGGACCGGCGCTCGGCGCCTGTCTCGGCAGAGCCGCGATGTGGTGGGGAGGAGCGGCCGGCGCTCAGCGCCTCCTCTGCTGAGCGGCGCGGACCGGCGCTCGGCGGCTCCTCTGCTGAGCGGCCAGCCCAGCTCGGACCGGTCCGGTCTAACCGGCCGGTCCGCTCGGCCCGCGGCCTTTGCGCCACACACGCCGCTACTCCGCCAGGAATGCGCCGCCGGCGCCGCGCGCCACCACCGGCCGGCCGCAGAGGTCACAGATGCGGCGGCAGCAGGGTCCACTGCAGAGGTCACAGACGCGGCTGCAGCAGAGTCCACTGCAGAGGTCAGACGCGGCTACAGAAGAGTCCACTGCAGAGGTCACAGACGCGGCTACAGTGGAGTCCACTACAGAGGTCAGAGACGCAGCGGCAGCAGAGTCCACTGCAGAGGTCAGACGCGCAGCGGCAGTGGGGTCCACTGTAGAGGTCAGAGACGCAGCCGCAGTGGAATAAAATGCGGGCGGCAATTAAATGTCCAGTGGCCAACTTGGGCCGACCGCACTGACCGCACAACAGGACGGTCCAACCGGCCGCGCTGACAGACCGGTCCCGGATGGAGAACAACCAATCTCCGCCGCGGAACCGGCAAACAGCGCAGATACATAACCTGCAGTCGGAGGCGAACGACAACCACGCCGGCGACAGTCGGGGACAACCACGCCGGCTGACAGTCGGGGGTGTCCGACACACAAACAAACCGGTCCAAGGTCCGAGTCCGGCCGGCGGCAGCCACTGCCCGGCCCGGAGAGCGGCCAAAAACAAAGGCCAGCCCCGGACCGGAATGGAGCCCCCACTAGCCGAGCTCTGCAGAACGCAATAACAACCGACAGCCGAACCGTATTTAATGAGGAATAAACCCTAAATCATTTGACAATATCAGCACTGGTTTTAACTTTAAAGTACCGGTGCCGGAATAAGTAAGACTGTATCATATATTGCAGCATAACTTCGTTCCCCATTTGCATATTCAAGTTTTAAGTGGCTGTAGCGTTCAGATGCGAGGTGATAAAACATGAGATATGAATGAAATGAGTACGAAGAGTCCCGAACCATTAAATTGTACCCTCAATTGTAGTTCACGACTTACGAACAGCTAATAGCCAAACGTGGACAAGTGGCTCCAGATCCAAAGGCAATGATTCGTTTGCATCAGTGAAAGTTCAGTTGCGAACGATGCGACAGCCCGCAGGGGCGCAGCCATTCACGTGTATGGGCGCGCCGTGCTCCAGCGCCCACACAGGTTGTGTGCGCAGCGCCCGCAGGTTGTGTGCGCAGTGTGGGCCTTCGTCCCGGTCAGTGGGACACCCACTAAGGTGGCCGACCGAGCGGGACAGGTGTACACTGTACACAGGTGTACAGGTGTACAGAGTGACGGAGTCGCCTCGGTCAGCCCTGAGCTGCCGTGGTGATCCGCCAGTGAGCACACCGGCCGGTCGTGTCACACAGAGAGTACACACACCAGTCCAGGGCGGCGCGGGCAGGCACAGCCACAGTCACCCTCGGACCGCGCAGTGCAGACTGCTGAGAAGCCCCGCGGACTCCTAACCACTGCCACACACCGTACAGCGACCCCAAACGGCCCATCTGCTGCCTGTGCCCGGCCCGCCAGCGGCCCTACCCGCCCGCCAGCAGGTCCGAGCTGCCCAAACAGGATGGTACTCCCGGCCGCGCCCCGGGCTGCTGCACCGACGGTACGTCAATGCAGGCGACCTGGCTCTGCCAGCGCAGCACACAGTCCCTCCCACAGCTCCGCGCCGCTATCTACACAGCCACAGTGTACTGGCGGATGCGGCATGACACGGAGTCAGTACGGGTTTCTCGGCAATGCGCGACGATGGCCGCCGTCCAACACGCCGTGTACACTAGAGCAGCAGCTGCGTCCCGCGCTCCAACTATCCACGCCGTGTAAACTGTATAGCGTACAGTGTATAGACACTGCAGCAGCTGCGTCCCGCGCTCCAACTGTCCATGCCGTGTAAACTGTATAGCGTACAGTGTACAGACACTGCAGCAGCTGCTGCGTCCCGCGCTCAGACTGTCCACTCCGTGCCAGCTGGCCATGTTTTCACATCACTACATTACATACCTAAAGTCGCGGCGCTGGCACTCCTCACCCGGCAGCGCCATCTCCACAGTCAGTGGACAATCCCGTCAGCAGCCAGTGCCACCCCCCCCCCCCCAGTTCCCAGTGCCACCACCGTATCCCAGTGACACCCCTCCCCAGTCAGTGGGCGCCCCAGATTTCAGCGTCGCCACCATACCCCAGTGCCACCCCTCCCCCAGTCAGTGGGACTGGGCACTCTAGAGTCAGTGGTCAGTGTCCATTCCCCTCCAACCCTCACAATTGGGACATCGACTTCGCGATAGCATTATATCCCCCTGGTTAAGCAATGTCACGAGTTACTCAGCCATTATCAGACAGACGGTTAGACTGACCCGGACGTGGTAGCCCCTCCCCTCCCCTACCCACAGCCGGGACTGACCAGTGGGCGTGGGGGCCGCCCCTCCCCCCAAAACACCCACAGCCGGGACTGACCTGGGCGTGGGTGCGCTGGAGCGCGCCTGGAGAGCAGCTTTCGGGCGCGTTCGTACTCGTTGTTCTCTGACTCGAGTTTGACGGCGGCTAGCCAGATCTCCTCAGAGTTGGGGTTGGCCTGGAACGCCATCGACAGGATCGAGCGCGCCGCCGGAACGTCATTCTGCCGGCACCAGGGTCAGGTCAGAGGCGATATTGGAAATAAGACCCTTTGCTTGTTGCAGTTGGGTCCAAAAGGTTTTGTTCTCCTTCACAAGTTTATGCCCCTGCACCTGAAATCCTGTACCTAGATTTTCCAGCCTCTGTAATGAATAACTGATTTTAACGCACCCAAAATATCCAGTAATGGAATTAAGAGTCAAAGATCTTATTATCTATCACATTTAAGGCGAAAACTATGGTTTCGCAATTGGTTGTTCTAAAAGCTGGCCTGTTCTCCAGACATATTTTAGTCTCCAGGACCAGGATCCAAAACGACGATTCCAACATTGATCAGAGGTCAGACTAGGGGCACAGGTCTGAGGGGGCACAGGGCACAGGTCAGAGCTCAGAGGCGGCACAGGTCAGAGGTCAGACTAGGGGGCACAGGCCAGAGGTCAACATGGGGCACAGGGCACAGATCACAGGTCAGAGGGGCGCAGCTCAGAGGCTAAGAGGCAAACGTCACAGATCAGAAGTCAGATTGAGGGCGCCGGCCGGTAACCGTTAGTCTCGATAAGGTAATCGGGGGGTTGAGATTGCAGTGCAGTGCAAATCATGACGTGCGCGCTTTGAACAAGTCTCGGGTAAGTGTGAACACGGCTCAGTCCGGTCTGAGCAAGATAAAACTAGCCGTACACGAGCTTCGGGGAAGCAAACGTCTCCTGAATACTGCAACAGCAGCCATGGAAAAGCGCCAGTTTGTAATCAGTGCATATAACCAACCAGTACCATTAGCTAAACCACAAACAAATGAGAACAGTCCTGCAAGGCAACGAGCTGTACGTTTTTATTATAGTTACATAAACTGAATGCTAGAATTCGACTTCAAAACCACGACAGTTCCGAGCAAGAACATCCTAAGTGTCAAATTTTTCGAAATTGAGATGTTCATACCATTCGACTCAGCTCGTCGAGCTGAGTCGAATGGTATAAAAATCTCAACTTCGAAAAAAATTTGACACTAAGGATGTTCTTGCTCGGAGCTGTCGAATATAAAACCCCATAGGCCCGGTGTCTCACTCACCGCCAGCCATTTGGACTTGGCTCCCATCAGCCAGAGCACCTCAGCGCGGGGACAGTGTGAGACGGCCTGCTGCAGCAGCGACTCCAGGCTCTCCCTGTCGGGGGAGCACAGAGGTCAGAGTACGAGACAGACACAGCACATCAGAGCGGGGTCAGTGGGAGACAGCAGCGACTCCAGGCTCTCCCTGTCGGGGGAGCGCAGAGAGCGGTCAGAGTACGGGACACAGTCCGCCGCCGTATAGGGGAGGGACCGGGGACGGACAACAGTCAGGGACGGGACCGGGGTCATCAAACAGCCCTCCCACACAGGGAGAGGAGAACAGAGTCAGGAGGTGGGGAGACGGACGGCCTCCCCAGTCGCCACACGGGCCGCCTGGGACCCGGATGACCGGCCGGTGGCACCGGTCATCACGCGGAGAGCTGGACGGTGTTGATATTGGCAGGTTAGCTCCAAGTTGTGGCAATTCATACGAACGGTAAGCAACGGCAGGCAATATATCAGCGTTTAGCAGAAGTACCCTGCCGCTGCCCACCCGCTCCCGATTTGCCGTGAGCCGCCCGGCCGCCCCAGCCTCCCACTCACCGGGTGCCGTGCGACTTCTCGAAGTAGGCCGCCGCCAGCCAGATGGACTTTTTGCTCGGGTAGGCGGCCAGCGCGTGGGCGTAGATGGCGCGCGCGCACTCGACGGCGCCCTGGGCGGCGCACAGCTCGGCGTCCTCCATCCACTGGCTCTTGCGGTCCTCCTCGTCGACCCCGTAGCCGATGACGGCCGTGATGACGGCCTGGCAGGTCAGCACCGAGCCGGAGCGCTCGCACTGAACCGCGTCCTTCAGCCAGAACTCGCGGTTGATCTCGACGCCGTTGGCCGACAGCGAGGAGAGCGCCCGCTCCACAATGCGGCTCACCATGGCCGCGTTGTCGTTGGCCTCCTCCAGTTTGGCGGCGCACAGCCAGATCTGACGGTCGGTCGGCACGTTTTCGCGCGCCTTGTTGAGCACTTTGCGCGCGTTCTCGTACGTCTCCAGCCGGGCGAGGGCCAGCCACAGTTCGACAGCGGTGGGGCAGCACTCGACGGCGCGCGAGAGCAGGATGCGCGCGTCCTCTCGCTCCTCCAGCTCGACGGCTGCCTTCCAGAGGCGGACAGAGTTGGGCTGCAGCTCGAGCGCCTTGCGGAACACGCGCCGCTTGCCCTTGAGCTCGAGCTCGAGGTCGGCCGCCTTGAGCCAGAGCCGCACCGAGTTGGGCAGCTGCCTGACCGCCTGTGCCACCACGCCCTTGGCCGTCTCCGGCGGCTGCAGGCGCGCCGCCTCCAGCCACACGTCCTCCGCGTTCGGACACGCCTCGCAGCCCTGTCGGACGGGGGAGAGGGGGGGGGGGGGTCAGCTCTGTCAGAGACGGGGAGGGGGAGGGGGGTCAGTCGTTCGGACACGCCTCGCAGCCCTGTCGGAGAGAGGGGGGGGGGGGGTCAGCCCTGTCGGACGGGGGGGGGGAGTCAGCCGTTCGGATACGCCTCGCAGCCCTGTCGGAGACGGGGGGGGGGGGGGGGTCAGCCGTTCGGACACGCCTCGCAGCCCTGCGGACGGACGGGGGGGGGGGGGGGTCAGCCGTTCGGACACGCCTAGCAGCCCTGTCGGAGACGGGGGGGGGAGGGTTAGCCCTGTCGGACGGGGGGGGGGGGGAGTCAGCCGTTCGGACACGCCTCGCAGCGCTGTCGACGGGGGGAGGGGGGGGGGGGGGGTCAGCCGTTCGGAAACGCCTCGCGGCCCTGTCGGACGGGAGAGGGAAAGGGAGGGGAGTCAGCCCTCCAAGAAGCTTCTTGAGATCAGGCTACTAATATACAATCCCTCGGCAAAAGTCTCCCAGAGGGGACCCGCCGATAACCTGTCGTCTTTAGGGCCCTGTTCATGAAGTCTGCGGTCGCTGCGGTCGGCCGCAGGTTCTAAGCCCCGCCCATTTTTGAAACGTCATCACTTACTCGGCCGCAGCAGCGTTCCATGAACAGCGTCTGCTGCCGAAATAGTTTCCGACAATTGTTTACAACTGACGCACACTGCTAGACAATTTGTTTACAAAATCGTCTCCATGACAACACGGCTTGCGCCTATTTGACTTCAGTGCGCCAAGTTCAATGCAATTAGTTTTCTTGCGGCTCGGCGGTCGCTGGATTGCGGCCGCAGAGATCGCAGCGGCCGCAGCAAGGTGACGTCATACATTCGTCATACTACATGAGCCCCACCCCTTTTCGTGACGTAACAACCCGGCTGACCGCAGCGACCGCAGCGGCCGCAGCGACCGCCGGGGTTCATGAACAGGGCCCAGCATTCATCGACAGCGCCGATCTGACATGTCCGACCCTGGTCACATCAGACGGCCAGTGGCCAGAGCTGAACGCCCGCTGCGGCGCTCTGCACAGTTCAGCCGGTCCCCGACATACACCGACTCACCATCAGCGACAGCTCACCTACCGACTAACGATCGAGAAATAAAAGGGGCCTTACCGTACCAGCGACTGAGAGAGGTTACCGTCCCCTCCCGATCAGCAGCCCGGCGGTCCTCCGATCAGGTGGACCAGCGGCCCACCGGCACAGTCCCTCCCGCCCAGCGGCGCCGCGGCCCGCCCGGTCAGCGGCCCGCCTGACCCGCTGTCCCTCCCGGTCAGCAGCCCGGCCCACCTTCATGATGAGGTTCCTGGCGTTCTGCAGTTTTCCGGTGACCTCCTCCAGGCGCGCCGAGGCGATCCAGGCTGGCGGGTGCTGCGGGTTCGTCTCGCGGACAGACTTCATCAGCAGGCGCGCCTTCTTGATGTCGCTGAAGGAGTGTTAAGAGACAGGGGTCAGGGGTCGCACAGCCCCCGCCTCGTCTAGGACGGCTCACCGGGCCCAGTCACTAGAGTAGGCGCTACCGCATTACTGCACACTGCTCTCCAGAAAACACGGACAAAATTCAAACCTATACGTGTCGCAAAACTAATCAAACTCGCCCATAGTAATGTGCCACATATTTCTATATGTGCACGAAGCACACCGAAAAACTTGAGCCAAAATACGTAGATCAGAAGCACTTCTGCTGAGCTGCTGCAGCACACGCCACCCGGTGGCCCGGTATGCACGTACTTGATGTCTGAAGAGAAGTTGGGTATCATGCTCTGCAGGTCTGTGAGGTAGCCCTTGGGGTCGACCACCGTCTGGCCCGACACCGAGTCAGACACCTGGTTCAGCTTCACGTTCATCAGCGTGTTGCGCGCCTGGCCGATCTTGCGCAGGTCCAGGTCGCCCGAGGGCGTGACCATGCCGGGCGCCGTGCTGGCCGTGCCCGGCAGCATGCTGGCCAGCCCGCTGCTGGCGTCGATGCTGTGCACCGTCTCGCCGCCCAGGCTGCGGCCCAGCACAGAGTCGGGCAGCGGGGTGAACTTCTCGGCGCGCGGGTTGCGCTGTTTGCGGTTGCGCGCGTCGCCCACCTCGGGCAGGTTGTCCCAGTCGTCCTTTGAGACCTGCACCAGGTCGCGCTTCAGGTCGGAGAACTGCTGCTGGATCTTGGGCCGCTCGGCGCGGTACCGCTCCAGCTCCTCTGAGGGGGCGGGGGGGGGGGAGTCAGAGACACGGTACCGCTCCAGCTCCTCTGTGTGTGTGTGTGTGTGGGGGGAGGATGGGGGGTCAGAGACACGGTACCGCTCCAGCTCCTCTGTGGGGGGATGGGAGGGGGGGGGGGGGGGTCAGACACGGAAGGCACGGCAACGATCAGCTCAGTCCCGGGGCAAATAACAGCAGCAGCGCAGGCTCCCTTTAACCGTGAAGGCAACACATCCGAGACATAATATTGCATATATATTGACATATATTGCGGATGTTAAAATAGATTTTACATCGGTATTCGGTAGGTACCCAAAAAGTAATGATGCAAGCATTTACAAACAAAAAAAAAAATCATGATGCCAGCAGCACACTATCGGCATTCATCTACCGGCGCTGGTATTGGAGGCAGTTGACGCACTGGTGATCGCTTGCCGACCCCGTTTCCCATTGGCCCTCACCCGGCGCCCTCGGCGCTCACCCTTGAGTTTCTTCTCCCTGTACTCCTTGCGTTTCTCGTCCATGCGCTCGTCGACGGCGTCGTAGATGGCATCGGCCTCCTCGTCGTCTTTGTCGTACGGGTCCTTGTTGAACAGCGAGCCGCCGTAGCCGGTAAACTGGGGACACAGCGGGGCGGGGTGGGGTCAGCCCCGTCCCGCAGTACTGGGGCCAGTCCCGTGCGGGACACCCTGGGGTCAGCCCCGTCCGGGCAGTACTGGGGTCAGCCCCGTCCGGGCAGTACTGGGGTCAGCCCCGTCCGGGCAGAATTGGGGGCAGCCCCGTCCGCAGGGTTTCGGAGTCGGAGTCGGAGTCGGAGTCGGAGTCGCCCGGAGTCGTGTCAAGCAGCCAGGAGTCGGAGTCGGAGTCGGAGTCGGTCCAGCTGCCTCGACTCCGACTCCGGAAAATAACTAGAATCCGTGATATCACTTTTCAGTTTTTTTTTTACCAGTTGCCCGTGGTAGAATTCGCTTCCGGCGATAAAAATTGCACAGATCTTGTTTTTGTTCTGAACGTCAAACATTCGATCTTACAGGTTTCAAGTTATATCATAATTTAGTAGCCAAGTATTTTGTATGCGCGTTATAACTTCCACTATCTGAAGTATTGGACGAGTCAAAGACTAGTTAAATGACAACTGTATTTTACTTTCTTCGTTTATCGCTCCAAAAAGTATAAACACATAGGAATGACCGAGTCCGACATGATAGCGACGCTTCGTGTTCGTGATACGGCCGCCTCTTGCGCTTCTCGGAGGGTTTCCACGCTGGCCGCTGACCTCTTGTGGATTCAGCTGCGTCCACGTGGGAGAAATGGTGACTGCATGAAGGAAACCGGAGAGTACAGGGTGTAACGAAATTATCCGGACATCTATTTTTCGCTATATCTGCTCGCACAGTTTCTTTTTGATGTCAGAGCTGGAAAATTGGATGATTGCATACCTCTGGTATCTGCTCACAACTCAGCAGTGATCGGACCTTGCGAAATGACTCTTGCTCTGAGTAAGAGTCGAGTCGCCGACGGGTTCATTTGATAGTTTTCGTTTAAGGCAGAGTGGAGAGAAGGGAGTACAGTCTGAAGTCTCTCGTTTCGTAGTAAGGTTACGTGTTGGTGGCATGGTGGCATGAGCCAGAAGCTGGTCTGTCAGCAGCTGGACATCAGCAGAAGCCAGTAGCACATCTGCCTGAGGCGTAATAAGCTGGGACTTGGTGGCAGACTCAGCCCGGCCTCGATCGCGAAAGGCGCCCTTTGGCAAGTGGTGGGGAGAGTTGTCAAGATAGCGACAAGGAAATGGCACTAATTAATCCCCGAAGAAAGATGTCCGGATAATTTCGCTACACCCTGTAGGAGCGTTCTCCCCGTGCACGTAGACCTTGCACGTGGCGTCATATCACGCAAAATTTTGGCGGCCGCCATTGCCCTTCGTATCAGACCCGGAGTCGGAGTCGGAGTCGGAGTCGGAGTCGGTCAGGAGCCCGGAGTCGGAGTCGGAGTCGGAGTCGGAACAGCGCTACCACGACTCCGAAACCCTGCGGCCGTCCGGGCAGTACTGGAGTCAGCCCCGTCCGGGCAGTGCTGGGGTCAGCCCCGTCCGGGACACACTGGGGTCAGCACCGTGCGGGACACCCTGGGGTCAGCCCCGTCCGGGCAGTGCTGGGGTCAGCACAGAGCGGGGTCAGTCGCCCGGGCCGTGCTGGAATCAGTCGCCCGGGCCATACTGGAAGCAGTCATCCTCATCGAACACACCGAGCCGCGGTCATCAGTTGCCGTGGCCACAGTGGGCTGAGTTCGGGTGTTCAGGTTACTGAGACAGTGAGACAGCTGTACGCAGCCGTGAAGCAGCGCGATGGCTGTACCAATCATCGGGGGTGGGGTTTGTGGGTTATATGTGGACTATACATATAATCCACTATATGTGCCAATCAGTCATCGTTTGTGGATTACCGGCTGACGCCGGCGTTTGTCACTGGCGTTCGACGCACCTCGTCATAGTTGGACTCGTTGAGATCTGTCTCGTCTTCCTCGTCGTCTTTCTTCCGGCGCTTGGCGGGAGCCGCGTGCCGCTCGTCCCTGAAACCAGCGGCCGCGTTAAACCAGACGTCAAAGCTGAGCAGCTCAACTAAACCGAAGGGCGTCAAACAACCGGAGTGTGACATTTTGCAAAACCAAGCGGCCAGCGGCCTCATGCTGAAAGAAATTAGAATTGTGATAAAAGTCAACAAACACCACAATATTTTTTTGGAAGCCAACATTATAATAGTATTTCAAAACAGTGCCTTCCTGAAATTGAATCAGGTATGCAATAGGCTCGCCCTTTGCATGAAAAAGTAAGGGGTAGCCAAAGAATGATTCTTCACTGAAAAGTTTCATATCAAACAGTGGATACTTAATAAAGAGATATACTTACGAGACATCAGTTGCCTGCCTAGCTGGACCAATATCAGACCGAGTGGTGAATCCTGTCGCTCTGAAAAAAAAAAACAACATAGGTATTGTCAATGAACTGCTGCAAGGAGCTCTGTTCCGTCCAACCGGCGACTCAGTTGGTAGATAGGGCCCAGAGTTCCAGCCCTGACAGGGATGGACTGCAGTCAGTGGGAGTGGTCACAGACATTTTAAGGAGTGGGACTGACTGTGCCTGGTTTTGATTGGCATGTAAGCATTCTCATCTAAATTCTTCCATAGCCCAAACTTGACTGATCGGATGGTAGGGAACAGAGCCAAAACAACATGCTCTGATTAGCTTGGACTCCTGCCCTGGCAACCCATAATCCACCAAACAATCAGCTTCAAATTAACCTGTGTCATGGTAGGAGTCTCAGCCAAACTTGCCACGGTGGTGGGGGGGGGGGGGGGAGGAGGTACACCTGATTACCTTGGAAACTAAGAAAGCTAGAAAGAAATCAAAAGCAATTATTAGCTCTTCGTAAGTTCTTTAAAAAGATATATAGACATTTTCATTCAGGTCAATGCTGAGTTCAATAGATGTCATAAAAGACAGAGCTTCCCAGAAAAACTCAATATTTACTTAGGGGAGAGAGGTCATATTGCGCCATGTTCTTAAATGCGCCACACCTTCCTCCTGTCCAAAATTCGATTCGAATGAATGCTCGAATGTGTGCATTTACTTCACCACCAATAACTCACTCTTATTCCGGTCCACGGTGGCAGGTGAGGTGTCTCAGCTTTCTCGCAGACCATTTTTGTGATTTCCTATATTTTCTTACGCGAAACAGTCTATTTCGACCTTTGCTAGTGTCATGGTTTATCTTAGAGATAGTGATTCAACTAATAATCATTGTTAATTGCTCGTTTAATGATAGTTTTGAAAGTTTAACACCACCGTGGCTTCGCTGTCCTCGCCATATTTGAAGCTCATGAAAAATGTGTTCCATTCGTAATTGCGCCCACCCTATTTGCGCCCTATTCTTCAACCCAGAGAAACAGCATCTGGTGGTTGGGACACATTTCATTGAACACTTTGATTATTAGAGCGCTCACCTTACCATTACCTTAGCCTTCACAGCATAAATGGTTAATGGGCTGACACGTTCAAATAGGCTACTTAGTTAGGTGGCAAACCGTTGTTTTTAATAGGGCGCTTTTACATGAGAGGCATGGGCGCTTTTTGATGGGGAAGTCCGTAAATGCGCCCTTTGCAGGTGTGTCGGAAAACTTTTCTCTTGTTAATCTTTATGGGTTTGAAACAAATAAGGAGTTGTAATTTGATGCCAAAATAACTGAGGTACAATTTGAGATATCATCAAGCATGACAGCTGGTCAACTTTAGCCGCAATAGGCCGATATCCTTAAGGTGGCGCAATATGACCTCTCTCCCCTACCTACAATTTCTGACAAACTGGTAAAGTGGCAACTGGCAGATAAATGCATTTGACAGCTCTCTCAGAGCTCTTTTGTTAGCCTCATATTTGATCTTGAGGTAATTTCCCTCTTTTGCAATCTTTCAAAACTGAAGAAATCCACAAAACAAAATTATGAAAAAAAGAACACATCTTTTTAAGGTAGAAAAATAAGATCACACATAGATACCTGATACTTTTTACACAAAACATTTATAAGTTACACCCAACCACATGTTGAGTCAGGCAAGGTTGTGTTACATTAGGTAAGGTTAGGTCAGGTTAAATTAGGCTTTGTTATTTCTGCTTGTAGTGTAGGTACCTGATTTTTTTCAGCATTAAATGATAGTATCAGTATGAACAATTTTCTAGATTGATGCATGGTTTGTGACAATATGGTGTGGATTTTATTCAATTTTGAGCATAAGGTGCAAAAGAGAGATTTGAGCGATCTAAAATCAAGGGGTAAAACTACAAAAATAGGCAAATTTCACTAAAAGATCTCATCCGATTGATTTAACATCAAACATTGTATCAAATTTACCTCACCAACAGCGTTTCTTTCATTTGCAAATCATTGCATGATTTTGTAAATTTAGAGGAGGTTCAGGAAAATTGATGAACATAGTTGAGGAGTGCCTACCCATGCCCCCAATCTTCGATTAAACTATCATGGATCCGCAGGCAATATATACAGGTTAACTTCAAAATGAAGCCAGAAGTAGCTGTAGTGACAATTAATGGGCAGTGAATATTATTCCAATGATTTGAGAGCATGAATCTGCTTCCAAGAAGGCGAAAACCAAAATATTTATGCTATAATCGCGTGAATTAAGAACGTTGTCAAAAATGGCGCACTTCGTCTACACAATTCAGATGCCCCAGCAACGCTGTATAATAAATATATCCCTCCAGATTATGCTTACCCTCTTCCTACACCTGCTACATATCCAAGGGGCGCTGGTAGACCAATAAATGTCTTTTTTGTCTTAGCCACAAGGGCTGAAGGATGCGGAACGTTCGGCGCGTTCATTTTGTGTGATGCCGGCCAGAAATGTAACGACCTTGACTTTATTTATAGTGACGTGAATAATTTGTTATAAATATGCTTCTTTTCCTTTCTTCATACAATTTAAGGACAAAATATACTGCTCATTAGTTCCTGAAATATACTTTTCGAAAAAAGGTAAGTTATTTCATTGTGATTCTAAGTTTATGCCAAGTTTCGTCTCCATACTCGCCTCTATCAGAACGGATTGCATAAATGACGCAGCTGTGACAACGAAACTGTTCACTGTATGTTTGATGCTGCTTTTGCCATATATGGAAGTTGATTCCTGGCGATTCACAGCCTTTCATTGGTGAATGGCACTGCATAGATACGGCCCACTCGCATTACACCAATGAAAAGCTGAGGAAGCCGGCAGTGCGCTGATAATATACTTATATCGAACAGTGTTATGATTTTTGGCGCCGTTTCAAAGTTAAAGGGACCCTCCCACCTTCAAAAAAGTTAATGAATTGGCATGAATGTGATGTCGCTCGGTTCAGAAAGAGCAAAAACGAATATCTACCAAATTTCATCGAAAAATATTCACCGGTTTTCAAGATATTAGACTTTTACTTTTGTTTACTTTTTGGGATCTCCGCTGTTCCTAGCGACTTTATTTGAAAGTGCGGCATTTGTTGCGCGCAAAGCAGCATATACCACCGCGTGCTGCAAAACGTTTTAGTCAAACATTTAACGGACGTTCGAAAGCCTGTTGACGTCATCAGATTCCCGTAATGGTTAAGAGATAGGGACCACGCTGGTCCCACCCTGCAAGTAAAGGGAAGAAATTTCTTGAACACCATAAAGCTGCGGGGGTTGCGACCAGGATAAATGGTGGTTTCTGAGCCTGGCCGCAAACTTGGCTATCTCAACTCAAAACTAATGTTAAGGTGGGAGGGTCCCTTTAATGCCTTGGCACTGACATAGACACCTCAACCTACTACTATAGGCTCTCTCTATCGTCTGGAGGTTTCGAAAGATGCTCTCCAGAGATGGCGCTAGTAAATTTGGCTGACATGACGTCATGCTTAAAAGTGATGGGTTTTGTGAGAGCAAATGTAATAATAGTTGAAAATTTTGTACTTTTGCTTAATTGAGAAAAAATTAATATACGATTGTTCAAAACAGCGTTTTCCTCATTCATCCTTCATTGTTTTAAGAGGAATATAGACAGTTAAATTCTTTTTTCTTGACCGCAATTCGCACACGCACTAAATTAAAAGCTGGAGTTTTGTGCGTTCGTAAATCATGATTTGAGAAAATAAATTGACAATAATCTTTTGCACTTTTGCTTTACAATCAGTTTTCAATGCAGATAAATGCATAAATCATTCGAAAATAGGCATATCTTTGAAATATTATGACTTTCCACAAGCAAATTTTTCCAAAAACTTGAACTACTTACAACTGACGAACGCATCCAATAATCTGGATGTCTTAGGATGAGTTCGTCATTTTTTCCCAAGGAAATACGATACAGTTTAAGCTACTTTACCGATTTATTAGGGTACTTTTGCTAATGAATTAATAAATAAATGACAACAATTAATCTCATTATCAACCATACTCGGAAGAATTTTCTTCGCATAAGCGCGAACACATCCGCGTTTTCATGAAAAGTAGCGCCTGCAGATGTCAGGACTGCTGCTTTATGTTTCGCAAGGTGGCGCAGCGTGCAGGGTACCGACTACCGAGGCTGAGGTCTCCAGACTCTCCACCACGATTTAGCTTGGAAATGGCCAATGGGGAAGGTCTCTGAAAAAACGGACGCCCTTTTACACAGCTGCATAACGAGAATGAATTATTGGCATAGCTGACCATACGTCCCCTCCCCCTCTCCGCCCCAGCTCAATTGGAAATATCGCCCATTTTCCTTAGTCAGTTATATTCTGACTAATTTCTCACTCTTCCCAGTAAACCTTAAAATGCATGACGCAGATGTCCACTGCGTTAGTCGTGTGCTTGCGTAAGTGTGCCAACTATATAGTGTTGCCTACACTCTACAGTGCCTACTGCTTCCACTGTTGTTATAATTGGTGATTCTCAGGTCAAAAGTTACACAGTGGTCTCAGAGAACAATCGTTTCAACAAATTAACGATTCAAACCGTTGCATTCTTAGATATTCCGGTCAGTTCTGCTACTAAACGATTCCGGCAAAACACTCTTTAGGTTATGTATTAGCGAACCACCACACAAAATTCGCCCAATCAATGGTCAGTTATTACTGCTGGGCTGAACCGTCATACGCTATATAGCCTATTGCAGTCAATATTTTCAGAACGATACCGACTGACGAAATACAACGTATTCGCGGATTCGCACGCATATTTACGTCTGGACAACGAGTTGCGTTGGAGAGGCCGGAAATAGTGGCGATTTCAGGACCGCAATAATGGACCGTCATTGGAATGATTCTTTTTTAAAACATGCGTTGTTTTTAGCCGAAATTTAGTTCTTACCATAAAATATTTTGTAATTAGAGTTTGGCCGAGAATGAATACCATCAGAGCTAAGTTTTTACTTTCATTGTATTTTGTCCAGAAGCATTAGTGCTGTTTTGTTGCAGTTTTTGCGCGTTTGTTACAAAATATGAAGCAAACCTGCAAAAAAGTTCCAAGGTGAAGATGATGCATATCACAATCATATTGACCTCAAGTTCATCCGTTCCTTCCATGATTGACTAGACAGATTTACACATTTCAATTTTATCTTGGATCAAAGGTGTTCGTGTGATCAGTGCCAACTGCCAGAGTTTAACTTGAAGTCCATGTCCCTCCGCTAAGAAGAAGAAGTTATTAAATATTTTGCTTTGTGTATTCCAAGAGGAGAGAGAAGTGGGAGCTATTTTCTTTGTGCCTTCATGTCGAATTGAAGATGGATCATTAAATTTTCAAGGCGTTGATCAACCAAGCATTTAGTCTTTCTCGTACATAAGCAGTGGCTAAGAAGAAAAAGTTAATCATCATACCTGAAGTTAAGTCATCTTACTTCAACTCAAACTTTGCAGCAAGATCCCCAAGGACAGAGGATATATTGTATACCTATCCTGTAAATCAAAGCATTTTTGTGCTTGCAAAGGCTTAAGTTATTTGTTGTGTGCTCGGAGTGAGGCTATGGGCGTTTTGTTGTATGTTTATGCGGAGATTGAATATAACTGTGACCCTGTGATTGTTTGTATATTTACTACAGTCAAACAGCATATTCAAATAACATACTCACCTAGCTCATAGCTGTACTCCCGCAGGATTTGTACTTGTTGATGTCTCAAGCATGAACAAAGCACTAAACTAGCTTAGTTATCATTTCCCACATTTTTCTGAGCATCTAACATGGCATACAGCAGTGCAGAGCAGCTTCAGAGAAGAAACACTTAAAATGCACAGACTCACAACACAACAGCCACCCGGGTGGCTGTTTCCCTGGATGTGGTTTGGCAAGGTGAGCGAACTGTTATCAAGTTGAAGGTTAGCAGGTAAGATCGAGTTAGGGTGAGTACCTAGTACCTATAACTGGGTGCTAATGCTATGCAGGTCTTGGGTAAGTTGCAAATAAGTGTGATGATTGAGGTTAGGTCAGGTTAGTCAGGTATGAATTGATCAGGTCACATTTTTATGAACACTTGGCAAATTAAAAAAAAACTAACATGACCTAATATTAGCTAGCCCAACTAAACCTACATAACTACTGAACTATAGGTACTGAGCACCTACCTACTTGTGCCTACATCTCATACCAAGTCAAAATAAAGAAGTTCCTTTCTGGAAGATTACCCTGGCAGTACTTTTTATCCCAGCCCTGTCAAGAAAACTAATACTTCTCAAGTTCTGAGTCCCTTCTGGCCATCCACAGAAAGAAATGCTGACAGCTTTGCTTTTGTATATTAGACCAATAATCACCATCACGGAACACATGATATGATCACATCGTTGCATGGATTGTCACATTGACAAATGACAATTTTACTGAAATCCTTTTTCAAGAAATGCAAAGTAATGATGAACATCAAATTAAACATTATAAAGCTGATTTAGTGATCCAAGCTTTCTCTTCCAGTAGCAACAGAATGATCGCATGTTTCATTTGCCAGACACTGAGTAATGCACATTACCATCTGCATAGCAAAGTAAAGCTGCCCAGGTTTGTTCATTCTAGATTTTTCACTTGGCAGCTAGCACTCATTGATCTTGCTGCTGTAGCCTGTAAGTAATATTTCAATATTCATACCAATACATCAATACGCGTTCACCAGCCAACATTTTCTGGCTTGATACTGCGCGTGTTCTTCAGTATTGATCTCCTGCAATATTATAGCTTGTTTTCGGCCAATAAGCTCTTTTAATTTTACTTTTTCTTGCTGATAGGTGAGCCAGATCAACTTGTGTTTATCAACCAACATTTCCTAACTTCAACCTGATATTACTCAGGACTCACAACTCTTAGCCTCCTGTATACATCAACTTGGGATTGTTTTCAGTCAACATGCTTCTTTAATATGATATAATTAAGTCACAAGAGATTCAAAACTTACAACAAAACGACATACAAGAGTTCGAAAACCATCAGATAAAAAAAAGGCCTTGGAACGGAGAAGAACTGAGCGAATTGGTGTGCTCCATTTGTTTGTTTACAATAATTGTAGTGCTGATGTATTGTTTTAGGACTCTAGCGGTTGGCTCATAAAAACTGAAACATTTTCACAAAATCTGTAAGGCAATTAATATTTCTCTGAAAGAACTTAAATATTCAAAAGCCAAACACCATGAAATACAGGAATCAGAACGAAAAAGTAACCCGAAAATCCAGCCTAATAACCGGCTCCTAAAACTGCGGCAAAATCAGCACTTTTCCCCGCAACTCGTTGTCCAGACGTAAATATGCGATTCGCACATACGTTGGCACCCAGGTGGCCTGTCAGCAGCCGCACAAATTGAGATGGTACACCGTAAAGCATGCCTTTCCACACAGGCACAAGCACAGGGACACAAATTCTCAAAATCCAAACTTATTCTAATACTGGTCAAATACTAATAGGCATAAAGTTTTGAGGTTTTCTCATGTTCATTCTTCTTTCAACACACGCGGCAGACTGCAGCAGAACATCTCACAGAGCTGCGCTGGATGCAGTCATGAGCTGGGACACGGTTTGTGACTAATGACCGATCGGGGGTGCCAGCCTCCTCCCGGCACGCGATGCACTGGCCGCCGCGCAGTCGATGTCGGGGCACCGCCGGCATTCGCCGACAGGGTTCCATCCGATTCGGTATATTGGTGGCAGCCCGAACAGTGACCCACGCGAAGCTGGTGGACGTCGATGGCCGATGAGCGATGCCCTTCCGCGACCGGCGGTGGCAGTCGGTCCCACATCAAGAACAGATACCAGTCATGCGGTCAGTCGGCGACGGCGCGGTCGCGAGCCGATCTGATGGTCGCGCGGTGGGCGTTGCCGACGTCCACCGGGACCGTCGACTGGGAGAGCGCGGCCGCCTCTTGGCCGCCGCCTCTGGTCGGCGCGCTCGTTGCGCTGTGGGACGGCATCCACAGCTGCAAGTCGTTCACTGTGAAGCGGTCGTTTGACCGGACCTGGCAGGCGGGGAAAGGGGGCCTCAGCTGAAGTAAAACCATCCCTCAGGCCAGCTTGAGCTGGCTCTCCACCTCACCATGTTAGATAAGCGGACACCCTCGTGATCATCGCAGCGATGATTGCAAATTGGTGTGTCATTATGGGAGAGGATGCCAGCCTCCTTTGCAAGATAGTCTGCCTTAAATATAGTGCAGCCCGACCCATTGCCTGTGGCCGCAGACTGGGCTTGATAATGCAGTGCAGGACACACCAAAGTAAGCGGCCATCTGTACCCCCTGTGCAGTAGGGCTGACTCAAGAGCCCAGAGTTGCCCTCCCCCCACCATTCTGTGCACGTGATAACTGGATGGGACATGCCATGGTCAGCATCTGTTCAAAAGCTGCCCTAAGCATGTAAAGCTCCACTGGCATGCTCAAGCATGGTCACAGTCAGTTCTCACTTCTCAGTTGAACCTCCAATGAAAACCCATCACAAAGTAGAGATCAGGGCGCCTCTCACACTGCAGCACACTCAACGACTGAGGCACCATCTCATCACTTGCAGGTGGTTCTTGCCAGGAGCAATGCCAGCCACGCACATCAGGTGATAACAGCAGTGTACAACTGCAATCTACAAGCATCCATGTTCTTTCTGGTTTTCTCCTGTTGAGATCCACTGCCATGCATGAACTTGATGGGCTTTTGTTGCGCTCCTCCCATGTGCAGACAGGTTTCTGCTGAAACAAAGCAAACAACTGTGATTAATAATGGCCCTGTTTCACCATCCAGACACTGTGTGCACTGGTAGCTACGGCATACCATAGCATCACTCCATGACGTTGCATGTGATCTCTTAGTTTATGGTGAATCGCGTTTGGAACAGAGTGAGAGGTTCTGAAAAACCGTACCAAAAACAGAGGTTTGAGTTCAAATACTGCTAGCATGCTGCTGGTGCTGGTACCGCAGCGTGCTAACGTTCTGGGATGCTGTCATAGCTTAGCGTCACAGTGAAGTTTGTCGACACTGCCATGGAAACCCAATGCTCTGACACACGCAGCGCACTGCAGCGCTCTGCCATGAAACACCACCCATGAACGTTGGTTGCATTGCATGACCAGGATCGAAGCAGTGTGGCAGACAGTGATTTTAATTTTAATTGCACTTACTAGAGATTAACAAGTTGTTGGTGAAATTGCTATTCATTATACCTATTACCATTGTCTAAATTTCACATTTCAAGACAGCATCAGCATCGACATGTTATATAAATAAGGTTTAGACTTCAGGTGGCCCCGGGTTCCCCGGGTTTTTGCCCGTAGAACAAGGGCAAAAAGTTGTCAAAAAAATATTTTAAAAAATACCTGCCTTTATCAACACCTCATCTACTAAAATCACATATCTCAATACAATCAAACACAGATGGGTTAAACAACAAGGCCCTAAAAGCAAAAACCGTTTGAATAACAATGTGATATTTTGCAACCGCTGCACCATTACTGTCACGTACGCTATCCCTAGATTGGTTGCTGGTAAGTAGTGGTTGTCGTCATCAACTCGTCATACAGCAGCTGATTGGGATGGGCGGGGCCTATTTTTATCCAGGCGATAGAGAGAGCCCTACTATACACTTTGGAAATTTGTCAGTGATTATAATTGAAAAAAACGCGAGTATTTTGGCAAACCGGTAAGAAACACCAATTTATATTTTCATCTAAGTGAGTGCAAGCATGAGGCATGGCTCACTGGCATGAGCTTGAGCTTGTTGATGTGCCTGGATCAGGATGGTTCACGTATAGCTTAGGATTGGGAAATGTTCATTGCTCTAATGGGTGGACGTTCGGGGAAGGCTAATAGAGGGCACATATTTTGAGACAGCAACACATATTGTGGCACTTTTTAATAATATTATTTCAAATTCTGACAGGTGGTAAATTACCTTTAGGATTCTGTAAGCTTTATGGTTTAAACTTGTGTTGTTTTCTCTTATTTTTTATCATTCAGGGACGCTCACTGCTGCATGTTTCATCCATTGTAATCCTGTATTTGAATCACCCCTCCTCGTTTGTTGAGTTTAGTTATTGCTTATTTCCACTCAGGAAACCTGAATGTCATTTATAATTCATTACAAAGCTGGTTTCATGTAAACATGTTCTAATCAAGCAGCTCAAATGTTTGCAGTTCAATTTCTTAAGATGTTGTAGTACCTGACTCGTGTTTTTCTCTTTCACCAGGTATAACAATGGATGTTGACATTGATGACCTGTTTGACACTGAACCAGTGAGGGATGGGCCTACAGAGGAACATGCAGAACCACTGTTTTCTGATGATGATGGCAATGATGAAGCCAATAATGCTGAGGGTGAAAATCAAGATGATGCTCAAAAGCAAACTGGTATGTCTTTAACCCGCGAGTTGCTGGGGGGGGGGCGTTAAATGCCCCCACTTTTTTCGCCGGGCCATAGCATAAAAACGGTGCGCCGCAGGCGCGCCAAATTTTGGGTACCTGTAGAGAATTGATTGAAGTTTATTGTGACAAAGTTTCAAAAAAAAAAATCGGTCGGAAAATTTTTGAGATATCGAGGTTTTAGTGACGTCATGATTTCTGAGTTTTTGACCAAAAACGGCATATGTTAAAAAAAAATCATATAAAATCACAGAATAGACATACAGACATGCCGTAAACGCCATTAGACTGCCAATACCATGGTCAATCAAATGGCTATCTTCAATTATTGATTATCGTTCCGCATTTTCCAAAATCTTGAACTGAATCTTGGCAATTTTTCGTGACCATGATACATGAATTTCTTAAATTGAGCTTTTTGAGCCAAACACGTACACATATGATAAAATGAATGTCACCATCGTGTTCTACGCCCCAAATTACCTATAAAACATGTGTCACAGGCTGCGAATATCAGTTTTGATTTTCGGGGATATGTGCCTACCCGGTTGACCTGACCTTGACCCTGACCTATGCTTGACTGACCCCTATATGGGGCTGACACTCTTGTAGGCCTTATAAGATGGATTGTGCACCGTTTTGACAGAGTTTATGGCGAGAGGCGCCCATTGCGAAGTCCTGAAGTCCATGCTACTGAAGCCCGATTTCAGGTGTTTGACCTGACCTTGACCCGGCCTGTGACCTCAAAATTCAACTTTTAAGTACTCATCTGAAGCGTCTCGTCGCGCTCTTTCGTTTGCCGCCTCGTGCGTTTCGCTGCGCCTATTGGTTCTCGAGTTATCGGCTGGGGGCGTTTAACGCCCCCCCCCCTCCCAGCAAACGGTGGGTGGCGAAATACCCCAGCAACTGCCGGGTTAATCCATTTCCAAGTCATGGAAGCTGTAGGCTGTAGAGCGAGCATTGTTTGTTCAAGTCAATTAGGTATTTACATGAATAATATGTACCTGTTTTTTACTTGCCTCTTCTAGTCTGATGTAATGGATATCGCTACAGCTATCATCAGTTTTCAACATTTGTGACAGTTTGCTAACCTATTAGCATAGGTAGTAAGGTAGGTATGGTTCAGAATGGGAGAACTGACCTGTGATGACCAATGATACTTATGCTGGTAGACTAGCAAACTGTTCTTCCATTCCAAATCACTTAAAAGTATTCAGAACCAAAGGAATGGACTGGTTTAAATCAAAAGTGTAATGGCCAACTAGCCTTTGCTTTACCAGTAGTGTGTTTCTCTGTTACAGTCAAGTTATTTCTCTGCCCCTGTTTTTCACTGTTGCTTTGGATAATTCGAGGTGACTGGTCTAAAGCAATAACTATGCACTTCCAGCTATTGTTGTACACTGTACCAATGAAGCAGCAAATTCCTTTTATGCCGGTTTATTCGAAGTTATGACTCGACAACAGCGCTGGCCGTCAGTTGGCCGTCCAGCACGCCCGTCCCCGGACAGTACTGTCATCTCAGCGGGTGGTCTCTCAGTATCGTCCCAGCCTTCCTGCCCCCTTATCCCAACTTACCGACCCCTGGGCCCAGCACGGCGGATGCCCGTCAAGGCCTCAGTTGGCGGCTTACTGGAGACCGGATAGCCAACTACAAGTGTCTAACTAACCTTTATAGTGAACTCACCGGAGTCGACTCCGTGGTGTTAGTTGGCGGTCCGCTCTATCGGCGGATTCAGTTGGCGGCCCGCCGTCTCAGCGGGTCATCTCCTTGTCCGTCTCGGTCTAAAGAAGTGTCAAATACACCATTATAGTGTGTTTGATCTGTCCTGACAGGGTACTGGACTATAGGGTAGGGTGGGGTAATTTGAACATGTGGGGCAATTTGAACATAGTGTGAAAAACACAAAATTACGGAAAATCCATAAGTGGCATGACAATAAGACCAATGAGGGAAATTATCTAACTAAAAGGACTGTCATATGAACGGGGTTTAAAGTTTCAGGGAATGAATATGTTGACGCACACTGTAAAAAATCATTTTCGCAAGTAAAAATGCCTAAAAACACGTCATTGCATCTTCATTGCAGCGCAAAATCTTGCATTGCTAGCGCCTAATACGCCACGGCTTTTGTTGTACAATGACCTAATCAGTTCCTTCAATCCAAGAAATTTGCTTTTGATACCTGTTTTTAAATATGGCAAAATAACTTTTAGCGTGGGGTAATTTGAACATAGTGTGAGAATTTCAGTGAAGACAGGGATAGCTCCGAAAAAAACAACGCTCCCAGTTTTTTTTTTGCCAATATTTTTGAGCCAAAGCAGTAGCAGATTAGTGATGCCAGTTTTATAAACTTTACGTCTAATATCCGTCTAATGTCCGGCATTTTCGTTGATTTCCGTTAAAAAATGTTAAAGTCAGCCATTTGTCCAAATATGTCAAAAAATCACGCATTAATCAACACTCAAAACTGTCATTTAAATTGCTTATAATGTAATTTTACCAGCCGAAAAGTGTTCATTATATTGAGAGCCTAACAAGCTTTCCATTCGCCAACTATGCACGATTACTTTATCAAAAGCGCTGAAGTGTAGCAAGCCATCGTCCAATGTTGTCCAGTCTGCTACCTTTGTCCAACCAATTCCGAATTGGACATTGGACAAAATCAGAACTCTAAATATCCAGGTTTCGATTGGCACCACTATAGCAGATGCAGTAAGATTGGGAGAGTTTTTGTCGAACAAAAATGATAGACGTTCTCGGTTAATTGAAGAGAAGCGAATTCTGTCAACTGACCGGCGTGCATCGTGCAGATATTGATACTCTGCAACTGTTATTTTTGTCGTTGTGTTGATTTTTCAAGTGAAGGTATCAGGTATGTTTAGAATTGTTCTGCCTATTTTGTTTATGGGTCAGACAACATCAGTGCTGGCGAGGCTATCGTTTTTATGACAGGTAAAGGAAGTATGTTCAAATTACCCCACGGTGGGGCAATTTGAACACACCGTGGCTTGGTGGAGAAGTGAGGCTATGCTATTCAACGTATGCTCGGCTCGTCCAAAAACGAGGCTTGCATGGTGAAAGCAAGTGACACTTGCGCTACTGAAGCAGTTTTTCTTCATCCATGGTTGAGCTGGAATTTGGTACAACGGAGAAGACGTAAAAATATGTTCAAATTACCCCACACTACCCTATAATTTAATGCAGAGTAGGTAACGAAAGTCACCTTTTGTAGAATCGCAGGAACCTACCGCTAACTCTGTAACTAACTGATTGAACAATCTCTCTTCAGATGAAGCCAATGCGGCGGACCCCAAGCCGAAGAAGAAGCGCGTCTCTCGGCCTCAGCCGAAGCTGAACGCCGACCGTCTGTGCGGCCCGCGCGGCATCGGCATCATGGAGCAGACCTTCTCGGACCTGGCGTTCGCCGGCCGCGGCCACGAGCGGCGCGACCTCGCTCTGCTCATGGGCCGCATGCAGCACTGGGCGCATCGGCTCTTCCCCAGGAGGCCGTTCGACCAGACCATAGAGCAGATAGAGAAGCTGGGCAAGGGCAGGCAGGTCAAGGTGGGTGACGCCGTGCGCTCTGGCAGCTGTGAGTCACCGTGCGGCCGGCATTGGATAAAACATGAATTACGAAATCGTCGAGTATGTGGCTATGGCCTCGATATCACGCTGAACAGGGCTCGTCAATGATGCCAGGGGCACATTGTCGACCCTGCCCATGTCCAGTTTACCAGTGTTAATTACCAGTATACATAACGCCTTTTGGGGCGACTAACGGAGCGAGCGAGAGGGTGAGCCTTGCACGTGCGAAATTTCGAGGGGGTACCTCCAGCTGACTTGTGCACGGCACCCTACTAAACCGGTCTCTAGCGATGTGCCAAATTTGAGCACAATCGGTCCAGCCGTTCTCGAGATCTGGAAGCGGCACCTTGCACGTGCGCACGTGCAAAATGGGTCCCAACTGACTTTTGCACGGCACCCTACTAACCGGTCCCTAACCATGTGCCAAATTTGAGCGCCATCGGTCCAGCCGTTCTCGAGATCCGGAATCGACCCCTGCACGTGCGCACGTGCAGCAGCACCCCAACTCTGACGCATGGATATACATTGCCTAGTGGGTGCCTACCTACATGCCAACTTTCAGCGCAATCGGCCAAGTAGTTACCGAGATATTGCAACAATTACAAAACGGACACCTCTTCGTTATGCACGTGGCACGTGCACAAGGGGTCACCCACATGCATCGGGAATAGTCCAATACTTGGTAGAAGGAATGAAGCTACCCTACAAAAATTACCGCATGTAAATCGGTCAAGTGGTTGCTGAGATATAAGCGTCGCAGAATCGTGACCACGGCCGGCCGGCCGGCCGGCCGCTCATACTCAGAAATTTCCGTTATTCTACGTAAGACTCCGCTCGCTTCGCTCGCTCCGTAATTACCGAAAGTTTGATGTACCTACCGCAGTAAGGTGATACGAGCTTCGGGTTCTGACGTCGATCTTTCTCGCCAGTTTTCAGCTGGCTGGACGTAGGGTTCTCCGCTGATGTTCGTAAATTAGCTCCACTCCTTCTCATGGTGCTGTCGCTTGGATGTGCTGAATCTCGCGCTGACTCGCTGAATCTCCAGGTGAACGTGAGGAAGCTGCGGATGGGTCTGAACGTGCTGCCGACGGAGGTGGACGGCGAGCGGGACGCGACCGAGCGCGGCGAGCCTGAGCGAGACGTGTTCGACGAGCTGATCGGCGGCTCGCCGCCCGGCTCCCCGGCGCCGCCGCGCTCCCCGGCGCCGGCCGAGCGGCCGCCCTCGCCGCAGTCACAGCAGCACATCGCCGCGGTACGCAGCCGGCGCGGCGGCGCGGCGCACTCTGCGTGCCCGGGCTTTCTGCGCACTCCGCGTGCCCGGGGATAGAGTTCCACTGGCTATGCTTGCGAGTATGCCGTTTAGAGAATGAAATGGCTGGTCTTTGTTTTAGCTCGCTAGTTTTCTAATGGGTTATCATGCTTGTCACTGTTTTCCTTTGTGCCTTATATTGTTTTTCGGTTTGTCACTGAGCTGACCGCTGAATAGGTAGTCACTGTGTGTGTCCTGCCCGCATTGTCTGCTGACCGGCCATCGTGCTGTCGTTGGCAGAGCTCGCTGACTGAGGAGCAGAAGGAGAGGATGCGGAAGAACCGGGAGGCGGCTCAGCTGCGCCGTATGCGCGCCCAGTTCAGCCGCCAGCAGCAGTCTGAGCAGTCTGAGCAGTCTGAGCAGCAGTCTGAGCCGCAGTCTGAGCCGCAGTCTGAGTGGCAGACCCCGCCCCGGCCCGGCCGGCACTCGGCGCCGACCTCCCCCCAGTCGGCCTCCCCGCAGCGGTCGCAGCCGGTCGGCGGCCGCTCTCCGCCGGCCGGTGGGACCCTCAGTGACGGCCGGTCCTCCTCTCCGTCCGGGGCAGACGGCTCCGACTCGGGTGACTCCGAGGCCGGCCTGGTACCGCGGCTCGGGGCGCTACACCAGATGTCTGAGACGGCGCCGGCCGGCGGTGGGGACGGCTCAGACCCGGCAGACTCCGAGACCGGCCTGGTGCCGCGGCTGGGGGCGCTCCACCAGATGTCGGAGACGGCGCCGGCCGGCGCAGACACAGCGGTCAGTGAGGAGGCCCGGACGGAGGAGGAACGGACGCGCGCCGACCGCCTGGGACACCTGCATCAGATGTCCGAGTCGATGGCCGTACCGGCGGATGGTGGAGCGGACGCTGAGATGACCGCCGCGGACACTGAGATGGCCGCCGTGGACACTGAGATGACCGCTCTGGACACTGAGAGGACCCCCGCGGACACTGAGATGACGGCCGTACCTGGGGAGACCGAGACGGAGACCGTCACGGCGGCGCCAGACCGGCGCCGGATGGACGCCATCGTCATAGCTGACGACTCAGATTCAGACGTCATCGCTGACGGTCCGCGGACAGGCGTCATCGCTGTCGAGCCAGAGACGGACGCCATCGTCATCGCTGACGATTCAGAGGCAGATGCCATCGCTGACGGTCCGCGGGCAGACGTCATCGTCATCGCCGACGATACAGACGACGAAGACGCGGTGCTGATGTCCGATGAGCGGTGAATGGTGAATGAGGATCGACATGCGGTTCAAGTCTAGCATCTCGACTGGGTGGGCGCCGCTGCTTCTGGTGTGAGATTCAGACGGCGGCAGACAGACGGCGGGTTCAGTGTACGGACTGGACGGCGGGTTCAGTGTACAGACTGGACGCCGGGTTCAGTGTGCGGGCAGACGCCGGGTTCAGTGTACAGACTGGACGGCGGGTTCAGAGTACAGACTGGACGCCGGGTTCAGTGTACAGACTGGACGGCGGGTTCAGTGTACAGGCGGACGGCGGGTTCAGAGTACAGACTGGACGTCGGGTTCAGTGTACAGGCGGACACTCAGAGAGCCGAGCCCTGCCTCCCGACCTGACGCAGCGGTGGCAGGGTGAAACGGTACCGGTAATCTGACGCGCTCGCCTAACCCAGTGGAACGTGTCCCTGTTTTTCGTCCGTATCGAATGGTCAGACTGATTTGCTGGTGATGCGACACCTACTCTAACGATATGCAGTGCTGACGCACGGTGGCGTGGCCTGATCACCCGGCTGCCTGGCTGGCTCGCTGAAGCGGCTCCGCCACGGAGGTACCACAAACGGCGCCCCTTAGACGGCTGCTGCTGAGTCCGGCAGTGGTGTGCCGCAATACGACTGTGTGCCGCCCGTCAGTCGGCTGCGGACCGCTGTTCCGTGATCCGTCCTCCGCCGCCGAGTCGATCTCCGTGGTTCCGCCCGGCGCCGTTGGTGCGAACTGAGCCCCGGGTGGTGTAAAGGGGCGACGTTTGCCGCTCTGTACGCACAGTAACTGCCGAGCGTAGTTTCAGTGTCTCCAGTGTCGCTGCCTGCCCTGGATTTGTGAGTCACGGGTGCGCGGCAGCTGATGACTGGCGCTGCTGTGTGCAATGGATCCACCTTGACGTGCGCCAGAGAATCCTCATCGCGCAATTGTACGCTGAAATGTATAGAAAATACTAGGTCATTTTATCAATCGTTTTTTATTATCATTTTGGGGAAGTTTTTTTTTTTTTTTACTTATGGCGATATGGGCGGGGCGGGACTAGCCCTGGCAAAAGAGCCGTTGATTACGGTGGTGAAACTAAAGGCCGGCACTTGGCAGCGACCACCTGTTCAGGGACCGGAGTCGTAGCGACGTTCAGTGGTTAGCAGCGGAAGCTTACGTTCACTGATCCTCCGCCAGGGGTGCTGGGAGTGTCGAGACCGCCCTCCTGTCCGCCCAGCTCTCACAGTGCGTTTGGAAATCGGTTGCGAGGTATAGGCAGAGGCGGAGCTTCCTATACAGTTGGAGGGGCGGGTGCCCCACCAACTTGCCATTTTGCCCCACCAATGCCTAAGCGTTTTGCCCTACCAGCTTAGGCTGATTTGTAGGACTTTGTTGCTTTGTAATTCGATCTTTTTCGCATTGAGGAGCCTTGTAATGTTTGTGTAATGCCAAATGTTAAATCTGTAGTGTTGGGAAATGATTCCGTTTTCATGTTATTCAATTTGACAATGGGACATTGTAGGTTTGACGACTTTTTTCCCCACCAACCTCTTCGGAAAAGCTCCACCCATGGGTAGGTATAGGTAATGCTGGAGATCCGCGGCCGATGGCTCAGTTGTAGGCTGTAGCTACGGGATGGTGTGGCATCGGTCCATTCCGGAAACATCCGTTTTATAGCTGGGTCAGTAACTTTCGTACAGCTTAATTCGTGTCTCAGGCCTCCGTGTTTTCCGCTGCTTAATTCGACGAAAACAATTACAAGTCCTTTTTTATCGAGCGAACCTCTCATCGCTGAAATGAATTCCTGCCTGACATTCCATGACAGTGTGTGCGGCGTGGCGTGGCTTTGGTCGGCGCCGCAGTCACGTCCGATGTCGTCCACTGAGGCTGCCACGGTCTCAATCGGTGCTGCACCCCCCCCCCCTCCCTCCAGTCAGTGTGCTGGGTGACCAAGACCATACCCCCTCCCAGAGTCAGTGCCGGGCCCGGCTGACTGCGCCTGTCCCACCCAGAGTCCCATTCAGGTCCCGCCGCAGCGGCCTGTCCCACCCAGAGTCCCATTCAGGTTCCGCTGCTGCGGACGGTCCCACCCACGGTCCCGCCGCCACGGACGGTCCCACCCGGGGTCCCACCTTATTTACGGGCCGTAAACGTCACGTCGGCGTCGGGAAGCCTGAAGCAGCTGTAATAAAGTGGGATTGACGGCTGATGGGCGGTTCGGCTCGGTGCCGGTGCCGCCCGGTCCTCTCAGCCCGCTGTGAAGGTGCCGGTGCCGCCCGGCTACTCTAAGCCCGCTGTGAAGGTGCCGGCAGCCCACGGCTCCTCTCAGCCCGGCGCCCGCTGTGAAGGTGCGGACTGCGGGTGCCGCCCGGTCCGCTCAGCCTGCTGTGAAGGTGCCGGCAGCCCAGGGTGGTCGAGTCCAGCAATCATTTCTCTGCATTAATGTTATATCAGTAGAATATAATTTTTCCCGCACCGTGTTTCTCTTGAGGCGCGTAGAATGTTTTATTATTGAACGGAATTTTAGAAAACGTTTTCAGGAATCCTAATATGTATTTACGACCACCTCTTATACGTTAGAGACGCTGTAAAAAGGCATACGGGAGAGGGTTAGGTACGCTTTCTTTAGCTACAAAACCTCTGCACAAGCTTTGGTTGATATTAGATTTGTGAAAGATAAAACAAGCAAACGAAAAAGTGGGTGGTATTTCAAAATAGGCATTGTTTTGGGCATGTCCCATATACGGAGGAGTTAAATTTTAAATGCACGTGTTCGTACCACTGCTTGCGTTTTCACACTACAAGTTTGATAACGATTTGTAGCGACAATATAACGTCTTTTATTCGCCTTTTTACCCGTTAATACCAACCATGCCAAAAAAGACCGCCCGTTGCTCGCTTGCCTGTGACGCCGATCAGCTCAAGGCCAAGAGGGCTCAGTATCAGAGCATTCTGTCGGACCTGGCGCAGCTCGACACCGACAATGACGCCTCGCGCGTGCTCAACTACAACAAGCGCGAGGTGCTGCAGCTGCTCGAGCAGATCAGGGGCGCGGCGCCGGCCGGCCGCGGCGCCGACACGCCCGTGCCCGGCTGGCTCAACGTCGAGACGATGGTGGGCGCGGTGGCCACCGGCCGGCCGGGCGGCCGCGCCGTCGGCCGCGCGCGAGACGAGGCTATCACCGGCCTGGGCCACCTGTTCTACATGGCCGGCGCGCAGATGACCTCCGTGCTGGACGAGTCGCTGGAGGCGCTGCTGTCCGTGCTGCGTGACGCCGAGAGCGGCGAGCCGCGCCGCGTGCTGGCCATCAAGGCGCTGGGCGAGGTGTGCTGGAGCTGCGCGCCGGCGCAGGCGCGGCTGCTCGCCAAGGGCGGCGTGCAGGCGCTGGTCGAGTGCGTGCACAACTACCGCCAGCAGGCGTGGGCAGCGCGCTGGGCCTGCCACACGCTGGCCGTGGCGCTGGCCGACAACGCCGACGTGTGGAGGCACCTGCGTCAGCTGGAGACGCTGGAGACCACCCTGTCGCACCTGGCGCTGGACGAGCCGCTGTGGACCAACTGGGACAACAACCACGCGTCCATCCTACACGGCCTTCTGTACGGGCCGCGCACCGTCCGCCAGTGACGGCCGGCTGTGACGCCCGTGCTGACCGGGTCACTGTCTAGTCTCTGGTTCCACCGTGTCGTCGGCGACGTGCCGTCCAGTATGTAGGTATAGATATTCAGTTGGGCGGCAGTCGCCCAATATACAATCTCTGCGCACATTCTGTTTGGTTGTGATATAGGCACTGGCAGTGCGTCTGAGTGTTATGTTTCTAAGTCCCCGCTTAGTCCCAGCCTTTCAAAACGGATATCTTATATCTTATATATAATATTATAAGATCTCTATGTCGATGCCTTCATCCCGCATGACAACTCCGCACGAACATTGGCAATTGATCTTACGCCTTACTGGCGTTTACTTTTCTGACTCGGACAATAACACCGAGGCACTCAAAACATTCCTTTGATGCCTCGGATAATGATATAAAATGGATTTTTACATAAAGGAAGTTACTTTTTTAATCGGTGTCTCTCTCTCGCTCTCGCTCTCTCTCTCTCTCTCTCTCTCTCTCTCTCTCTCTCTCTCTCTCTCTCTCTCTCTCTCTCTCTCTCTCTCTCTCTCTCTCTCTCTCTCTCTCTCTCTTTCTCTTCCTCTCGCCAGTCTTTGAGCTCCTTAAAGTTAGCAGCACTCATTCAGGATAAGTTAGTTCATCGTCGACCGTCGTTAAAAACTTCAAGCTCAAGTTTGTCGCGCGATCACGGCAGCATCCGAGTCGGCAGACCAATTTTATGATAAATGCGCCATGATTTCATTAAATTTCAACAGCGCTGATGTTTTCTGCGTTTTATGATAGCGGTGACGCAAAGTGCTCATATACACTTGTCCATTGTTTTCACTGATTGTATCTGCTAATGGCCTGCGCTCCCAATTGTCCAGAAAACTAAATATTTGACGGAGCGGTATGCCATTCATCTCGCACTTGACCCATGAAGTCGTATCAGGAGCTCGACTGTGCCCGCCTTTGATCGGCGCGCGCCTCTTCCTGGAGACGAGTGCCGGGCTGTGCCGGGCGACCGTTCTCTGTGGCGGCGGAGTGGCAGTCGGCCGACCCCCCGGCAGGCCCCGCCGGACTCTCGGCCCCCGGACGGCAGTCGTCCCTTGTTGAGTTTGTATTCATGTTATCGTTACAATTAAAGTAAGTTCGTTTGCGTCGAGTCGTAGTGTGTTACTGCGCTGTATTTATCGAGCTAGCGGCGCCGCCCGGCCCGGCCGTTCGTCATGACCCATTACCAGCCAGCCCGCCGTGCTCTGCAGTGCGGCGCATTCGCGCTGACCTGGGGCGCCGCGCCGGTCACGTGGCTCGTGGCTGACCGGGTCGACGCCGACGACTCGGCTCCACCCCCCGCGGCGCGCTCGCTCCCGCCGCGGTCGCCAGTCCCTCCACCGTGGACGGAACAAATCGCGTGGTCCAGCCAACCATGAACGGCCGTTTTAGCTAATGTGGTCAGAATACAGACTATGTTTAAAACATGACCGCCACTCATAGGTGTGCAATATCCTAAATAACCATGACGCACAGCTAGAGACGAGCCTCACTCTGGCCGTAAAAAGTGGCATGTAAATGAGCTCACTTTCTATTTTTAGACGCTATGATTTGATGTAATACCCACCTACTTGGAAAACATCGCATGTTAAATTAGTAAACTATTCCACCAACGGGAATCAGCTGTTGCACCTGGATAAAATAAATATATTCCAGGAACAGTTCAGCATTTTGATGCTTAAATGCACACGTTTTAAATGCATATATTCTTTATTGCCCGCTTCTATTAAATTCAAAGGGCGTTTTCTGTTCACTATACTGGGGTGGTGGCACCCTGTCGCGATTCATTGCGTGGCAGGGCCTCGTAGCCATGCCAGTTACGCTGATCGCATATGAATAAGGGCCGGCCGTTTCGGCTTACCGGCGCGGCGGCCGGGCGGGGCGGGGGCGCAGAGCTCGGCCGGGGTTGGGCGCCTCTCCGTCATAATACTCATACGCCACTGCATGCACTGGTTGGATCGGCCGAACCGCTGCGCTGCCGCTGCTGCTCCCCGCGGGTCTCCGGGCGGAGCGCGGCGGCGGCGGCCGGAGACTGGGGCGGGCGGGAGCGCAGCTGGCCAGTCCGCCCGATCGGTTCACTGCCTCCGGCCGTATACCGTAACGTATCGGCCGGCGGCCGCTGTCGGCTGACTGATTGGCGGCGGGATTTCCACCGCTGCACTCCGGCCGTCACTGGGGTCACTGGAGTTACTCTCTGCCACCAACGAGGTCACGGTCTGGCGTCACTGGGGCCACGGTCTGTCGTCACTTTGTCCAGTCCAATGTCCACCAGTCTGATCAGCCGTCCAATGTCCATCAGTCTGGTTGGTCAGTATTCCAATGTTAATAAGTAATTAATCTG